TAACTGAATTTTCAGCGAGGGCATCGCGCGCGTCCCATCGAACTTTAATAAGAAATTCTTTATAAGTTCGCACACTCTTGATAACCGAGAAATCGTTGGCGGAAACGCGATAACGCGTGCGCGACACAACGATCAGAATTCACCGCGCGATGCAACGCCATCTTCTCATTTTTGCTCTCATGTACACGTCTCTGTACATACTCGAAAATTATTTTAAAAATACGGGAGAAACATAGAAAATCTTCCTAATCCGCTTGCGTGGAACAGCGAGTAGCGTGTTACACGCATAGAGCAATGAAATCTGAAACTCGCTTTTCTTATCCTCATGACAGACGGAAGGCAGAGGTTCACTTTAGAGCTCGATTGAAAGCAAGATAGATCATTACAAGAGGTGGGGAGAACCAAGAATTTCATATTGCATCAAGATACACTTATAAAATATGTGCATCGTTCGCACCGTAGAAAATTATTACCGTTCCCATTAACGGGAATGTCACGTCTCGGTTAGCTCCTTTTAATTCGAGAATAACAGTTTCACGGGGCTCGCCGAAGTGGGATTCTATAACGCGCCGGATCCGTTACTAGATAGAGCTGTGACGTATAAGGGAGTTTGGAGGCAGATGTGTTTGGAGCTCGGACTTGTTCGGAGGCGCGGATGCGTTAAGCTGGACATGACACTACGAAATTAAATACGGATCGCCGGACCCATCGAGCCCCATGATTCTCCGCGACTCGGAGAGTGTCATAAGCTATATCCCGACGTCGTGGGGCCCTCTCACTTAATTCCCCTTAAGGTCGATCTCTTATCCGGATCGGATCAATAGCAATACGATATCGTCTTACGGACTTTCCGTCTCTCGCGCGTACACCGTATTGGGTTGCGATTAAACCGGGCAACCGGTAACGTGAATTCCCCCGTTAAAATTCGAATAATAAATTCTGGCAAGAACGAACGGTTCAAGTTATCTAAGTTATGTCGGGCGCATCATGGTCGAGTGAGCAGCGATGCGAGTGGCCGATGGGGTGCGGAGGGATACCGCGTAACTACTCGTTGAGGTGAATGACACATTAGATATGTTCGAAAATTATTCACCTGAAGTCAGTATTATACTTTGACGTATCATCGTGATATTAATTAAATTAAAAGGGTCAATTTATTTTTCGAATCAAAGAATAAGTAGATTTTTTCGTTACTTGAAAGATCTCCACACGGATAGAACATTATAATCTTTTTCTTTTTTTTCATATAAATTCTTTTCAAATTTATTGTACATTTCTAGTGTAGGAATGGACTGTCAGTAAGATCTATTTTGCTGAGGAACATAATAAATCTCTCTAGGAACATGGCAAATTTTATAATAGCACATTTCAGTTCCTGAAATATAAATGGCACACATGAAGTGAGAGGATAATAAATTACTGCAGGGAATGTCGATCTATTCCTCGGTTATAAGATCCTACAATAATTTTTACTGTAAAATTCTTTCCGTGTAGAAAAAAACTAAAAATCATGAAATATTAATTTTACAACTTGGAACTGTGTTCAAAAAAAAAAGCTTAATAATTAATTTGGACCCAGTGGATTCTGATAATATATCGAAGCTTAAGATATATTCACGGAAACTGCCACGATTAAATAGTGTTATTTGCACAAGTACATTAACGTGCGATAACGATCTTATAAGAAAAATTATTTTTCTGCGCTCTCTTTGACGTATGTAACATTTTACGTCGCCTACTGTCTTACGCTCTAAAAAGCTTTCTCGTACACAAGTGTATCGTCGTTCCAAGGACGAAATATGGGTTCTACATCGACGGTTTTGCGCGAGCCGTTCCCTCGTGCCCGTCGCGTGTTTCCCGTAATGTTCTGCACGGTTAATGAAGAATTCGCCATATCTGCCGGGATGGCAGCTGACGTTGCATTCATGCATGAGAGCGACGCGTCCCGGTCATTTGGCCCTCTCGTGCGCCCTAAAAACAGGGCAACGCGCAAGTTTTGTCCTGTCAGTGCCCGGGTAGTAACGCGCGCGTCTTCCGCGGGGACTCGAGCCAGAAGAAAATTTCGGAGGGAGCCCCGACGGTTGGCCCACACATCGAGTTGTCGGAACATGCGGATTGAGCCATTAAAGCCTGCCCGGGGCCTCTTTCGGGGAAATCCGCGAGACAGAGAGTTCGTTATTATTGCCGTACGCGCGTCTGGAATCGCGCGTTAAAGCAGTCTAGACTGGAGTATCGAGACAGAGAATCGTGAGATATTTTTAACGCAACAGCAACCAGCCAACTTGAATTTTTGATCCTACTTTTCACCTGTGTTTCGTCTAACGCTTATTTTGATATTCTGAAGTCTATATCAATCTCTTTTAATCGTATTTAATCCGCTAACTATGGATGAGAGGTTCTTTTTAGGATATACAAGTGGTATTTTGTGCATTTTCTGTCATTTAGTACTAGAATTTCCATGTGCATTAAACATACATTGATATACATATACTTATATATATTGGAAAGAATCCAGGTGGAAAGTGGGACTAAAATTTCGACTTAGGCAGTCATTTATTATACCATGATCTAACGCACGATTAGTCGTCGCACACGGAAAAAACAATTCTGTTGGTGCAACCGAATTTTCAGTTGCTCAGGGATCAGACGGAAACTCGGCTGTAGGAACAGAAAAATTCCTTTACGAGGCTTCTGTATAGTCAATTGTTCTCAGTTGTTTCAACCAAATTTTAATATCGTTGAATGTTCAGACGAATATTTTCGGTTGCGACAACAGAAATATTAGTTTTCATAACAGAGATATCGTTTCTGATCACCTAATTTTCAGTTGTTCTTATTTGGTTGTACCAACCGAAATTTTTTTTGCGTGCATATAATTATTTCGTCTGTGCAGTCGCACTGTTCGAATTATTACTCTCTTTTCTCAAAGTATCAAAAGATATCGACACTATCGTTCAAAATAAAATTACGTGGTTTTCTTTGTCAAGTGCATTAGTCGCGTTCTGCGTCATCGTCCCTGCATCACGAGGTATTCGTTTCGTTATCGATTCTCAAAAAACGATTGAACCGAGAAAAAATCGCGGATTTTCTGGAAAGGGCGGTGGCGCAGAGAAACGCCGCGGACGGGAAGGTCGGCGTTGACCGCGCGCGAAACCTTCCGAGGAGATAATTTATTGGTCAATCAAAATGACGCATGGAGGTATAAGGTGACACGTCAGCGTGCACGGCTGACCATTAATTTTAATACCCGTCAGCATCAGATCTCTTACGACAGTGCTTTCCACGTCGGAGTTCTCTTTCTCTTTCTCCCCTCCCCCCTCCCTCTTTTCCTCTCTCCGCAGTCGCTCAGTCCGACCGACCCACCGACAGCGAGTGCGTATCCATCGGCATCGGCTACCGTACGACTAATGTCCCGTTCTCTCCGACGACGATCATCCTCAGAGATCTCAGTCGCTCGATCTTCTCTCACGGCCGCGGCCGCCACGAATTATTATCCTCCTCTTAATCCCGCATCGCCGAGCGCGAGCGCCGCGCCGCGCTGTCCGGCCAGGTGAGGCGTAACGCCCGGGGAAAGGAATCACGCCGCGGAGATAGGATCGCAGGTTCGAGAGGGCGGCCGCGCGCGCGAGAACGGCGCGCGGATATATCGGTGCCACGCTAAGAACGCGTCGAGAAGAATGCCGAGCTGCCGGCTGCCGTTGCACAGCGTGTCGATTGATAACGCGTTCTCTTATCGTAATGCGCTCACCCACCCCTTCCATTCACGCGGCTGTTGCAGTTCGTGCTTGTGAAATCGACCGGGCGATCGGGTGTAGATCGCGTTAAGAGCCGAACGGCCGATTTGAAATATTTCCGAGCGGGAGAACGTCGCGAGCGCCGAAAGCGCGCGGATTCTTTATCTGCGACTAATCTCACCTCGTCGAATATGCACGAGGTGTATCGTGACCGCCGTCGAACGAATCAGTCGGCCGAAGTTTCATGGAGACGGATGCATAATTCGAGAAACTGCGGGGGGAGGGAGGGGGGATGTGTGAGAGAGAAAGAAAGAGTCTCTCCTCTTTGCTGCACGCCTGTCTGGTTCACGAAAAGATATACACGACTCCTCGTGGAGATGCCGAACGGGTCGGCCGGGGTTAATGCCTGTATGTACCCCTCCCCCTCTCCCCCATCGCGTGCCTTCGCTTTCCTCCGTCGGTTGTATCTCATTTGTAAAGATTCCGGGACAAAGGAGTAGGAACGATCGTCTTTATGGATCTCTGGGGATCCGCGGTTTGACCCCCGGGCCCAAAGAGGCATCGCCGCCGACGTACGGACAGACAGAAGCGCGAGTCTGTCAAGTACCGCGATTCTAATCTGACAGGGACGTATTGGGCCCCGCCGACCGCTCGCCGAGGCCCAGCTCGAGGAGGCCGGGTCCCTGATCGGTCGGCCGCTGTACTTCGGTTATATTATTAGTCACCGACGAGCGGCGAATGAATTTCCATACATTGCCGCGATCGCCGAAACGCGATCGATTTCGGCGTTTAACCTCGAGATTCGAGAATGAGCACAAGCTCATAATTTCAAGAGTCAACTCGACGGGAAAATCGACGCGACAACGCGACATAATTCAGCCGAACATCGAAAGGGCAATCTCCGTGATTAAATCACGACTGCGTGCAAATATTAATGTCAACATTGCGTACGAATATTACTATGTATGAGTTATTGAGTGTTGTTTCCGCACGGCAGGAAGAGAGAAATTATATCATGAGTCTCTGTGATTTGCGAGTACATTTCCAGTGTCAGATATATCGTATAGCACCGAGAGAAAAAAGATTAACTGTGTTAGTTCAATATGAAATTCAGTGTAATGAATAACTGCGCGATTTGAATGGATCTACATCTCGTAATTTGAATCACCTGAACGGCTTCGCCTCGATTTTCCCCCAATGGTTATGCGAGGAAATGTACAACATGTTTGTGTAAACTTACTGGCGACGCAACGATGTTTTACCTCAGTCGATTACTTCGATTTGCATTCGTTGAAACTGCATCTGCATCCGATGTGATCATCCACAAATTCCGTTAGCATACCTGAAAGAGATAATTGTCTTAATTAGTCGCTGTGGTAGAGAGAGAGGTAAGATAAAAGTACCAATTCCCGGACACATACCTAATCCTGGACATTCTTATTGTTTTAAATACAAATAATTAAAGTTTCAAAACATAGAAAATGTATGTATATACTCAATACTTGTATCCATATTTTATGTAGCAAGTAAGTTTAAATATTTATATTTTTAAAGATCAAAACAATAAGAATGTCCAGGATTAGATAAGTATATTGCTACTTTTACTTTAAGGTCAGGTGAGAAGTTTCAAACGTATTTTTCTTTCAACTGTGATATAAACGAAGCGTAATAGTTATCTATCACAATATTCTGATTATTCACAAAGATTACGATAAATTGATCGCGCACGCGAATATTATAATTTATTTTGCATGTACTTTAACTTGAAAAGCTCGCAAGTCACTCATCGCGTTTGTGTGCACGTTCACGAAAGTATATTGTAAAAAATCTTGCATACACAGTACGTAAACAAATGTTCCAAAAAGTCCACTTATATTTTGTGTCGAAAATAACTTATACATATATTCATTCGTGTGTTATTTATATTATGTATAGATTAGTACATAATATAAATAACACACGAATAAACATATGAATGAGTTATTTTCGACACAAAATATAAGTGGACTTTTTGGTACATTTGTTTACGTACTGTGTACGCAAGATTTTTTACAGTGTACGGTCGCACAAAGCGCCATATAACCGGTCTGTGTATCCTTACAATATGTTAGCGAATTCTTTTCAAAAAACAGAACAGCTTACTCATATAAAAAACAGAGAGGAAGAGAAAGAGAGAAAAAAACCTTGAGACGTGAAGTAGACTTCTTTGTTAACGCAGAACTGCATTCGTCGAAACAGCGGTTGTGTCTGATGTCATGAGCCTTAAATTCTGCTGGAAGATTTAAATTGAGAGATAATTGTCCTAATTAGTTAAAACAAGAGAGATACATAAAGTTGGAGTTCCCAGTGAGAAATGATACGTCGATCAATGTCGATTTGAACTTTTCGATACCGATTTGACATCGTTTCGACGTCGATTGACGAGTCATTTCTCAATGAGTTGCTTCGTCGGTTCGGATGGATAGAGTAATTTCAAATGCATATCTCTTTTAATTGCGATACGAACGGAGCGTTATCCGCAATATCCTTGATTATTTGTTAAGATCACAATAAACCGGTCGTGTACGCGAAATATCGTAAATTGTCGTATTTAATCCAACTCGAGAAACTCACAAGTAACTAATCGCATTTACGCGCGCATTTACGAAAGTACGGGCGCGCGGAGCGCCATGTGACACATCTTTGTCTGTGTACCTCTTTCAATTGCGATACGAATAAGGCATGATAGTTACCTTCCGCACTTCAGGATGTTCCTGGCTGCTCATAACGATGTTAGCAAGACGAGCGTGTACGTGGAGTATCGAAATTCCTATCGCATGTACTGCAATTCTTCCAAAAATCGTGTGTCTCGTGTCACGATGTGTTCGTCCTCGAGTCTTTCACTCTAATGACGTTACAATCCGCAATATCCGAGATTTCAAATGCGTGTCTCCTTCAATTGCGATACAAACGGGGCGTGACAGTTACCTGTTACAATCCGCAATATTCTTAATTATTTGTAAGATCACGATAAATCGATCTACGCGAAATACTGTAAATTATCGTATTTTAACCCGAATTAAAAAACTCACAAGTAACTAATCGTGGTTACGCGCGCATCTACGAAAATATGAAAGTACGGTCGCGCGAAGCGCCATGTGATACGTTCTTGCCTGTGCACCTCTTTCAATTACAATACGAACGAGGCGCGTTACTTGGTACAATCCACAATATTCTTTATTATTTTCTAAGATCACGATAAACCGATCTACGCGAAATACCGTAAATTGCCGTATTTTAACTTGACTCGAGAAACTCGCAAGTAACTAATCGCGTTTACGCGCGCATTCACGATGATACGAAAGTACGGTCGCGCGGAGCGCCATGTGATACGTTCTTGCCTGTGCACCTCTTTTAATTACGATACGAACGCGGCGCATTATTTGTTACAATCCGCAATATCCTTCATTATTTGCTAAACGATAAACCGATCGTGCACGCGAAATACCGTAAATTGACATACTTTACCCCGACTCAAGAAACTCACAATTAATCGCGTTTATGCATGCATTTACAAAAATACCAATGTACGGTCGCGCGGAGCGCCCATGTGATACGTCCTTGCCTGCGCATCTCTTTCAATTACAGTACGAATAAGGCACGATAATTACCTTTCGCACTTGTGGATACTTCTGGCTGTTCACAACGATGCCAGCAAGACGAGCGTGTACACGAAGTACCGAAATTCCTGTTGCATGTACTGCAATTCTCCCAAAAATCGTACGTCTTCTGTTGTGTTCACCCCCGCGTCTCTTACTCTAATGGCGTCCTCGACATGTATGCAGTGACACTCGGCTGTGTTGATATTTAGAAGATCGCGGAGTATCGAAATTCGTTTCACACGAGCTTCAGTGTTTTCCGGATAGATCGCGCGCCTCGTGTCGCGACATATTCGTCTCACCGCCTACAACGATACTAGCGAGCAACTAGTAGCGAGCAACTCGAGTGTGTACACGAAATTCCAGAATACGTACCGTATCCACTCGAATTCTCTCCATAAAAATCGCAGGCGATATATTCGTATTCGCGTTTCTCACTCTGATGGCGTACTCGGCGTACAGAGTGACACTTGGCCGTGTTGATGTTTGGAAAGTCGCAATCGTGCACGCGGAGTGCCGAAATTCCTCTCACACGAGCTTCAATGTTTTCCACACAGATCGCGCGCCTCGTGTCGTGACGTTTTAGTTGCATTGGCATCACGGCATTGGTGGCGGAGCGACTGTGTGCGCGAAATTCCGAAATAGGTATTGTATCCACTCGAATTCTCCCCGTAAAAATCGCAGGCCTCACATCGCAACGAATTCGTCTCACCATCCACAACGATGCCAGCGAGCCAGTGTTCACGAAATTTCAAATTACGTATCATGTATGACATTTCGTTTCGTCGTTTATCTCTAATGGTACGTGCGTTTGACTATGTTGGTACTTTGCAGATAAACTTTATCCTAAGTGAATTTCGAGATTAGTCTATCACGCGCTTGGATTCTTCCTAGAGGAGTCGCACAATGTTCCCGACGACGACCACGACGATCACGGGCGAGCCGAACGCGCACGCGAAATACCGTAATTTGTCCCGCACGTACTATAACCTGACTTGCACAAATCGCTAACAAGACGTCGTGTTTGCTCACACGTTTACGTCTGTCGATCGCTTGAAACGCCACTTGCGCCCGTTCTTGTTTGTACACTCTTGTAATATATGTCTTATTTCTTTCAGCGTCTGCATGCATAAAAAGGGAAAACGAATATTAAGACGTAAGATATCTTCGTTAATACCGCTGATGCATTCGTCGAGACTGCATTATATTCGCCAGAAGACATAGATATTTATTCCGATTAGTCGTAGCGGTGGAGAAGAGAAAAAAGTAATTTGCACGGTTTGAACTGGACGTGAAGTTTGAAATAAATATCTCCCTCAATATGAATGTTTTACTGATAAAGTTAATTAAAACAGAATTTTTATTATAGATCTAATGGAGCTTGTGGCTACGCAATGAGAGACCGAGAGTTGTCGAGGATGTAGACTTTGTGAATTAGGATGCACTAGAAGATCGGGTAGAGCAAGGTCGATGGTGAGTTCACAAGATATTCTGTAGCCTCATGTTGAACTCTTTGTGATAAAAAATCACTGATATATGATAAAAGTTGTTAAATTACAATCACAATGAATTAATATGTTCCCAGATAGCACAGAGAATTCTAAAAGAGTTCAGTCATATGTGACCACATCTGTGTTCATTTTCAGATGCAAAAAGATTCTTCAGAGTTCAGTTCAGTAAATTCTTTTTGCATCTAAAAATGAACTCAGAAGTAGTGACATACGACTGAATTCTTTTGGAATTCTCTGCTATTTGAGAACGTATTAACTCATTGTGATCGTAATCCAACAATCTTTTTATCCTGACAATCATATGTTAGTGATCTTTGATCACAAAAAGTTCAACATGAGACTACAGAATATCTTGTAAACTTACCTTCGAGTCGATCTTGCTTTGGCGATTCTCCGGATCTTCCGGTGCAGCATACTAATTCACAAAGTCTGCATTCTCGACAATACTCAGTCTCTCATCACGTAGCCGCGAGCTCCATTAGATCAATAATAAAAATTCTGTCAATTAATTTTATCATTAAAATATCCACTTATATTAAGGGAGATATTTGTTTCAAACTTCACATCCCGTTCAAACCGTGCAAGTTACCTTTTTCTCTTCTCCACCGTTATGACTAATTGGAGTAAATATCTCGCAATCTATGTCTTCCGGCAAACTCTCTCTCTCTCTCTCTCTCTCTCTCTCTCTCTCTCTATCTCTCTTTCTTTCTCTCTATTTTATGGTTACAGGCTTTCCAAACATAAGTCCAATCTCCAATTTTCATTTCTTCAATATGTAAGGTTTCAACTGTTATCTCGTGTAATGAATATAATAAGGCTTTGGCAAGTTCCAAAAATCACAAGGTCCGAATTTGTTCGAACACGTTTTATCGTGACGGCGGTTAAACCGGGACTTTTTCTGGCGAATACATTGCAGCCTCGACAAATGCAGCAGCGGTATTAACGAAGATATCTTGCGTCTTAATATTCGTTTTCTCTTTTTCATGTATGCAGATACTGAAAGAAATGAGACAGATATATTACAGGAGTGTACAAACAAGAACGGTCGCAAGTGGCGTTTCAAGCGATCGACAGACGTAAACGTGTGAGCAAACACGACGTCTTGTTAGCGATTTGTGCAAGTCAGGTTATAGTACGTGCGGGGCAAATTACGGTATTTCGCGTGCGCGTTCGGTTCGCCCGTGATCGTCGTGGTCGTCGTCGGGAACATTGTGCGACTCCTCTAGGAAGAATCCAAGCGCGTGATAGACTAATCTCGAAATTCACTTAGGATAAAGTTTATCTGCAAAGTACCAACATAGTCAAACGCATGTACCATTAGAGATAAACGACGAAACGACATGTCATACATGATACGTACTTTGGAATTTCGTGAATACTGTTGCTCGCTGGCATCGTTGTGGATGGTGAGACGAATTCGTTGCGATGTGAGGCTTGCGATTTTTACGAGGAGAATTCGAGTGGATACAATACCTACTTCGGCATTTCGCACACACAGTCGTTCCGCTACTACTGTCGTAATGCCAATGCAACTAATACGTCACGACGCGAGGCGCGCGATCTGTGTAAAAAACATTGAAGCTCATGTGAGACGAATTTCGGCATTCCGCGTGCACGATCGCGACTTTCCAAACCTCAACACGGGCGAGTGTCACTCTGTACGCCGAGTACGCCATTAGAGTGAGAGACGCGAAGACGAACATATCGCCAGCGATTTTTATGGAGAGAATTCGAGTGGATACGGTACGTATTCTAGAATTTCGTGTACACAGGCGCTCTAGTATCGCTGTAGGCGGTGAGACGAAACGTCGCGACGCGAGGCGCGCGATCTATCTGGGAAACACTGAAGCTCGTGTGAAACGAATTTCGATATTCCGCGATCGCGACCTTCTAAATAACACAGTTGACTGTCACTGCATTCGCCGAGGACGCCATTAGAATGAGAGACGCGGGGGTGAACACGTCGTGACACGAGACGTACGATTTTGGGGAGAATTGCAGTACATACAATAGGAATTTCGGTACTCCGTGTACACGCTCGTCGTGCTGACATCCTTGTGAACAGCCAGGAACATCCAGAAGTGCAGAAGGTAACTATCGTGCCTTATTCGTATCGTAATTGAAAGAGGTACACAGGCAAGGACGTATCACATGGCGCTCCGCGCGACCGTACTTTCACATTTTCGTGGATGCGCGCGTAAACGCGATTAGTTACTTGTGAATTTCTCGAGTCGGGTTAAAGTACATGTACGACAATCTACGGGATTTCGTGTGCACGATCGGTTTATCGTGATTTTAGCAAATAATCAAGGATATTGCGGATGGTAATGTTCTGTTCGTATCGCAATTGAAAGAAGTGCACAGGCAAGGACGTATCACATGGCGCTCCGCGCGACCGTACTTTCGTATTATCGTGAATGCGCGCGTAAACGCGATTAGTTACTTGCGAGTTTCTCGAGTCAAGTTAAAATACGGCAATTTACAGTATTTCGCGTACACGATCGGTTTATCGTGATCTTAGCAAATAATCAATAATATTATGGATTATAACAGGTAACGCCCCGTTCGTATCGCAATTGAAAGAGATATACATTTGAAATTTGTCTATCTATCCGAACCGACAAACCAAATCAGTGAGAAATGACTCGTCAATCGATGTCGAAATGATATCAAATCGACATCAATCGACGAATAATTTCTCACTGGAAACTCAATCTTATGTCTCTCTTCTGTTTTAACTAATTAGGACAATTATCTTTCGATCTAGATCTTCCAGCAAGGTTTAAAGCTCTCTTACATCAGACACGACTGCAGTTTCGACGAAAGCAGTTCTGCGTTAACAGAAAAATCTAATTCGCGTTTCAAGGTTTGTTTCTCTCTTTCTCTCTCTCTCTCTCTGTTTTTTATATGAGTAAGCTGCTTTATGTTTTTCGAAAAAAATGCGCAGACATATTGTAGGGATACACAGACTGGTTACATGATGCTTCGTTAACCGTACTTTCGTGAATGTGCATACAAACGCGATGAATGACTTGCGAGCTTTTTACAATATTTCGCGTGCGCGATCGGTTTGTCACGATCTTTGTGAATAGTCAGAATGTTGTGATAGATAACTATTACGCTTCGTTCATATCACAGAAATTGAAAGAGAAATACATTTAAAACTTCTCACCTGACCTTAAAGTAAAAGTAGCAATATACCTAATCCTGGACATTCTTATTGTTTTGATCTTTAAAAATATAAATATTTAAACTTACTTGCATCATAAAATATGCATACAAGTATTGAGTATATACATACATTTTCTATGTTTTGAAAGTTTAATTATTTTTATTCGTATTCAAAACAATAAGCATGTCCAGTATTAGATATTTGTCCGGGAATTGGTACTTTTATCTTACTTCTTTCTCTACCACTGGGACTAATTAAAACAATTCTCTTTTAGATGTGCTAACGGAATTTGTGGATGATCACATCGGATGCAGATGCAGTTTCAATGAATGCAAATCGAAGTAATCGACTGAGTTAAAGCATCGTCACGTCGACAGTAAGTTTACACCGACATGTACATTTTCTCGTATTACCATTGACGGGGAAAAATCTAGGCGAAGCCGTTCAGATGATTTAAATTGTGAGATGTAGATCCATTTAAATCGCGCAGTTGTTCGTTACACTGAATTCTATATTGAACTAACACAATTAATCTTTTTTCACTCGGTGCTATACGGTGTATTTTGACAATTGAAATGTACTCTGTGCTATCTGGGTTCATATGATATCAGTGTGCATTTTTCTCATAAAATTGTCAATCCTGATAACTAATCAGTAAAATTATATTTTTTATTCCAGATCTGTAATGGGATATGTCCAGCCCTAATGACTCGACGTTTGTGTCCAAGGCTGAACTAGAAAATGGGTACTTGTAAGTAACAGAAAAGTAAAAAATGAAAAGGAAAGGTTGGATCTGAGAGATCCTATGTATTCTATTTTGTTCTTTTTAAATTTTTGTAATATCTTCAGCATTTTTTTCTATTAGCTGTTATTTAATCTCAATACTCCTCAATCATGAGAGATTATATAAAGTTTGAGAAATTATAAAAGTACAACAAAAAAAGAAAGAAATTCTTCAAATTCCATCTTTCCAATGACAAAGGTGATAGGTGAAATATTTTAGTTAACAAATGAAAAATCTCATGAAAGTCAGTACGTTTTACAATAGTTTGTATATTTTTTGCATGTTTGTGTCGTCCCCATCAATGATAAACTGCTCGCAATAATAAGGAAATTATTTTCTTAATTGTCCACATATATTACATAAAATTAAAAATATATACAATTATAAATATATACAGGGTGTCTTACACTCTCCTTCGGGCATTCTGTGGGAACGTAGAACAGGTTACGGTGAACATAAAAGTCCTCTACCGTTTTGCGATATTCGCAATAATTATCGAAATATTAATTGTAGAAAATTTGTGGATAATCATACAGAATATGGTAAATGAGTTATAGTAGCGACGACTGCCGTCGTGTACTTATACTTTAGGTCAAATTGAACAAAAAAATCCTCTATCATTTTCCAAATAATCGCATAGATTTTTAATTATAAATTAAAGAAGATTATTGCACGATTTTGCATGATAATGCACTCATTTTCTTTAATTAATAATTAAAAATTTATGTGATTATTTGCAAAATGGTAGAGGACTTTTTTGTTTAATTTGACCTAAAATATAAGTACACGAGGGCAGTCGTCGCTACTATAACTCATTTACCATATTCTGCATGATCATTCACAAATTTTCTACAATTAATATCTCAATAATTATTGCGAATATCGCAAAACAGTATAGGATTTTTATGTTCACCGCAACCTGTTCTACGTTCCCACAAAATTCCCGGAGGAGAGTGTGAGACACCCTGTATACTTCTTTAGACTGTAAAGTTTTAGAATTTATATTAGTGTTTCCGTTTTTATTATTTATGATTGAATACGTAGAATTTCTCAATAGATGTTCATTTAATGCGATTTCTTTATTGTTTTGAGCAGTGTAAGAATGCGCATCAGAGTTGCGCCACTGCATACCACCGCACCAATTAATGTGCGGCATTATCGTGCGGAAATACCGCACGTGAATACCACGTGGAATTGCTACACGTGAATTACACTTAATTTATTCACGTTTATAAATTTCGCAATTATCACGGTCATCAATTTTTAATTTTTCATACACACACCAAGCATAATATTACTTCAGTTGAAATTATTAATACATTCGATATGACGGCTTGTTTATTTCGATAATTAAGTCTGGCGGAACTACATCTTTCGACAATATATTATCATTCGCGCGAAACAAATAAACTACATATTTACACTCTTAGTTTTGTACTCTCAATTCTTACTTTTTCGCTCCTTTCGAATTTTTTAAAAGAAGAGATTATAAAACAAGAAAGTTTATTATTGTATTACATTTTACTCATAGTTATACAAATACACTTTAACACGTTGATCATGGAAATCATCAGTGACTGGTACTATTATATCGTATCTTTGATTTTCAAACTTTAATTGAGTTTTGATCAGTTTAATTGATTTTATCAATAGAAATCAGTGCCGCAGCCAATGCGTGAATGTAGAATTATAATTTCAACTCGGGTAGTTCCGTGAAACCTATATGTATATGTATATATATATTTTTTTTATATTATTTACATTTGTATAATATTTTAGATGTGTCATATTGCTGATACGTCTCCGATATATTTTTCGTATTTTTTCTTATATATTGCAACGTTTCGTAATGTTTTTCTGATATCTTTTATATTCTTCTGTTTCTCATATATATCTTTATTATGCTACAAATGACATCGCACATGATTATTCACACGATTGCGAAATCGCACGATTTAGCAGTCTAATTTCAACGCCGCGCCGCTCGTTAATCATTCGCGGCTTTTAACGACTCTGTTCATTTCGGTCCCTCGATAATGACTCGACGTTTGTGCCCCATTTTAAGGAAACACATTGCCAGCTTAAGACAGTTTCGATGCATTTAACCGTCTAAATATTTAAAAGGACTCATTTTTTTTCTCGTAGAGACGAGGGTATAACGGAAGTCGAGTCGAAACTGACTGTCGTCGATTATTCGTCATGTCAGTCCTTCCACTCTGTCGTAGCTTGTACGTTAATGTTACCTATTACTTACCGGGCGTCCTTTCTGACAGCGGCGCGTTCGATGTTCCTCAGATATCTTCAATTTTCGACCGTCGAGGGTTCCGGGACGACGGAAAATATATTTGACGCGCCGTTATAATCCGTGAAGAATTTCGGTCTCCCCGAACTTCTAGATATCGTCCCAATTATTATCTTGGGCAATCTTTTTTTGTATATAAAACGTTAGCATAGGTTGAGTACGATTGTAACGTTTGTCCACTTTGAACTAACCTACATCGAAAAAGAAAGGTTTGGTCGAATTAGCCAATTTCCCGTGAAATATGAAAATGCCGGCTGAAAACTAGAAAATGCCGGCTGATGTTATCAGGAATATTGTCGATTTGAACACAATTCTGGTGACTTTAATCGGAATTTTCTGGCACGTTCATATTTCACTAGAAATTTCCTTAAATTCAACCAAACTTCTTTTTTCATGTAGCATTCGCGGAAAATACGTCGTGAAAAATCGATCCGTGAAACTTTCTCACTTTGTGCGTTCTTGACGAAAAATCAAATAGTTCAACTTGAGCGAATGATAAAGAGACGCGTAGGGAATCACAGAGTCAGAACGATGTGTTCGTGTGAACAGCGATAGCCGGGGTCAAATGAAGTATGATATGCGTAAACCGACACTACTTGCGATCGGCGTAACACAACGCAAACACGCAACGCGTTTACGGTGCAACGTAGGCGTGGCTCGCTTGATATCAACGATGGCCACCTTTCGACTGTAAATCAATCGATATCTCGCCGGCAGGAGGGGCTTTTCGTAGGGTTCGCGCGATGCCTGAAACGAGCCGGGGGTGGAAGCATGCGCCAAATGCTGAATACGACCCGCCCCGCTACTTTTATGTAGAGAAATCGTCCCGACCATCTTCCTCGGCTCCCTTTACGCCTCGCGATAAAACGGATGGTTGAAAATAGTCACGGTCTCGCTGACATTTCGCGTCGGAAACCATTTGTGTGAAATAAAATATAGAATGTACGAAGGCGTAAAATGTGGGGAATATTATAATGCAGGACGCAAATATACGCAAATATACGAAATAGTCGTTTAGAACATGATTTATGGCGATGATAGAGTTGTTATTTTTAATTACTACATAATGTTTTTCTCACGTCGATATAACCTTCTCACACTGAAAAAAGGATTTGGTTATGGAAGCCAAAATTTGTTTAAAATGGGATCAACGAAATGTCTGATAATTGCAGTCGAGAAATCTTATTAGTGCTATTTTGCTTTGCTTAGTGACTAAGTAAATATATTACTGAGAAAGTAAGATAAAATAGCGGCAATTAAATTTTTTGGTTGCAATTACCAAACTTTTGGTTGATCCCATTTTAACCAAATTTTGATTTCATCAACTAAATCCTTTTTTCAATACAGCCCTAATATCCAGTCGACTATTGATTATAATGCGTGAGAAATTTATTTATGTTGTAGCATCTCTGAAGTCTGACTCGTGGTTGCACTGCAAAGTATAAAAATATGCAAATTTCAAAGAAAATATTTTTGCATCCTAATGATTACTGAAGTTCAGAGAATCCCAATACGTTTATAAAATTTTGAAATAGAGGACTGAGGGTGATAAATTTATGAATAAGGAGAGAAGAGAAAACATAATTTATCTTGAAATCAACAACCATAACTACATCTTCGCGTAGAAAATTAACGGGTGTGTCAGTTACGCGACTGTTTATTCAGATAAATTCCGCAAGGATTATTGGAAGCCCATCGCTTGCAGAATAGAATTAATTCAGGCGTTAATGCGCGACTGCGTTTCTCTCGCTTCGACAGCGGTCTGCTCACGTGTTCTTCATAGTCATCGATCGTGTCACGTCTCGATGTGGGTGACACGTCGCCGCGCGTAATTCATTAATCAGGTTTTCGATCCCGCGCGTATCGCCGTCGACGCCGATCGAAGATTACATTTTATCTGCGCGAATGCGCGGCAGCGGGGGTGGTGAGGGTGGTGGGGGTGCTGACGAAATAAATGCTCGATGTGGCTCGATATATATAATGGGAATATTTAATTCGAATTTAAATAAATCTTACAAGAGTTTATCATCGGTCGTCTCGCGTTGATCGTTTTCGCATACACGCACGCGCGTACTCGCTACGCTGCTCATATATCGTAGGTAAATAAATAACTAAGTTACATTTTTTAAACAGTCTATCGGGACGATGTCGCCGCTAAATGGTAAATTATGTACAACGTTGCTCCGCGCGGATTACATATACAATACACCTATACATAGTTTCATCTTTTTTTTGCTTCTCTCTCTCTCTCTCTTTCTCTTTCTCTTTCTCTCTCTATGTATAATGTTCTATTGCACATCGCAATCACTCCGGTGTTTTCTTTGCCGCGTTATATAATATGTTACATTTTTACAATAAATTAACGAAAAAGCTAAGTTCTTCCCTTTTCTCGCCTTCGTTAACAATCGTGATTCCTTTGCCTGTCACGAGAGAGAGGGGCGATCCTGCCTCGCTGCGTTTTCGCGTAAATAACTTTGCTGAAGAAATTGCAAAAAATGGCACTTGTTAATCTCCCTCGTGATTAAACCGCTATCGCATGTCTTCGTAGGCGCCAAGTCGAGTCATTTCTCAAGTCGGACCGGCTGAAATTCTGGTAGAATTGTTTTCTGTTCACTGATGTATATCGATGTTATTAGCAACTTCTTCTCTCTGGACAATACTATTATTCAATATTCTATCGTATATATTCTATCGCCGCTATTCCAAGCTCACTTTTGTCGATGAAAGTGCTTCTAAATGTGCTCATAAGTCCTAATTAATATTATTAATTACAAGTCACATCTTTGGAGGCGCTCTTTATCGATAAAAGGGAACTATAAGGGCAAATAATTCGGGAAATTTCGTTGGATTAACTTACTCGTATAAAATCCAATTTAACGATATCGAATGTCGCGATTCAGGAACATGCGCGGCATTTCATTTTCCTCTTTCTTCTTTTTCTTTCGTCTTTCTGAGCGATGGCAAGGAACGGCGACCGTAGCTTATTCGCGTGGCCATCTCGGTAACTGACTTTCTTCTCGCGATTATTACGAACGAGGGCGAGCGACTTACGCCGAACGTCGTCCTATCGGAAGCTCTAATTACAAAACAAGGATTCCCCCGGTTGATCCGTTTGCCGTCCGGACGCGTCCAACCAATTGTACTACAGTCGTACGTCTAATGAAATAAATACTCCAGTCTTTGATTGTAAGGAAGGGAAATGACAGATCGCGGACTTTGGGGCTCCCGCTCCGCAAATTTTACCTCTCTCTTATCGCCTTTTATTCGATTCTTCAAGTAAAACGTGTACACTCATTTCGTTTCCTCTTAAATAACACCGCTTTGGTTGGTTATGACTTACTCCGAGAAACCCGCGAGTCAGCGAAAGAGATATTTTCCAATAACGCTGGAGTGTCCAGCGTATCTTTGCGGGAAACGTCCGTTTCGTAGATGACCTACAGTTGAAACAAATCCTGCAATCTTCCTCCAACCGAAATGTGCAAAAGTATACTTCCGCGTTGAATTACCCGACACTTTTAGATTCCATTCTTTCTTGAGTTTTTTTTTTCTCTTTCAATTATCCGGGAAATTATCCGACGCAAGACCTCTCACACGGAGGGTGACTCGATCTCCCTTTTAAAACGGGGCTGAGATGCGAAATTCAGGGCCCGCGAAGTGACCGAGCTAGGTTTCGCGCTCGCACGCACGCACGCGCTTATAATCGTCATTTCGCTTGGAGCTCCGCGGCCTGCTCCTCTTCCTCCTTGGTAAGCGGCACCGTCGAATGATTGTAGAGCCCCTGCGCCATCAGCTGAAGCGCCAGCGGGTTTTTCTGACCGCTGGCCTTCTTGATTTTCGCCCTCTTGTTCTGGAACCAGATCTTGATCTGCGCCTCGTTCAGACCGAGATCCCTCGAGAGCTGCTGCCGCCGTCGCTCCGTCAGGTATCGATTCTCCGCGAACTCTCTCTTGAGCCTCGCGAGTTGCTCGCCGCTGAACGCCGTCCGGGGACGTTTCTCCTCGGGGGTGCCGCCGCCGCGTCCGTCGCCCATTTTCTTCATCCTTCTCGTGCGCGGACCTGGAACACGGGACGGCCCTACCGTTAACTCATATCTGTCAATAGGCCTGCCGAGGGACGTCCAAACGCTACAAATACCGCGCTGGAATAAAGCGTGTAACTCTGTAGAGGTAGATCAATTTTTCCCTCACTGAAGAATCAAATATATCGCGAAGAAAATTATTCGAGAAATACGTAACATCTGTTCGGTAGGTACACGGAGGAAAAAGAGATTTTTTTGCTGCAACTAATCACCGTTTGCATTCGTTGCCGGAACGAAAAATCTGCTCCTGTAGTCGAAATTTTGTTACTGTTGCTGCTATAACGGTTTCATAGCTAAATATGTACTTATTGGTAGCTGTATCTTAACTGAGGGAGAATTCATACCTTGGTAGAAACGCAAAGAACTCATGTTAGTGGTCAAGTAGTAGTCGATAGTTTCTGCCATTTCTATTAAACGTGTTATCAGTACCCAATGAATAAATATTTTTTATTTTTTTGTATCTCCTCTCTCACACACAGAGACAATTTATAGATATTTAATTAGAAATTGCACGAAGAAATGAATAATTGTACATACGTCTATTGAGGTTAGACTACAGATATTATCAAGACGTTTCCTGTTGTCTCGCGAAGCCGACGTTTCGCGTGTTTTCGACGTGACCTTTTCGGCAGAAGTTATCGGCTAACAATCATATCTCGCGTGCGGAGAGTCTCGCTTTTACACAATAGTTGGCGTGTCCCCTCGACCAGGCATTGATTCAGCGAGTTTACACGCCGATAAATCTGAGAAATTAACGAACCACCGGCCCGGCGAGTTTTACGGCAACTTTTATTGTCTGGTTTGTCTCGAGTGTTCTTTCGCTTTCTCTCTCTCTCTTTCTTTCTCTCTCTTTCTCTGCTCGTGTAGGTATTCGTCTACGCCGGTTCTAAGTCCGGTTATGCGCGAGTGTCTTCCTCTTTAACAAGCCGCGTTACTTAGGAGGAGCTGAGGTCGGAAAGTTCGTCGATGGTATAAACGTCCGACTGGGAAGGATCATCCACAGCCGCGGGAGTAAATCCTTCCGTCTCGATTCTACCCGGTTTATCGTGCTGAGGACGCGTTCGCTCGTTCGCGCGGAATCGTCGCGACGGAGTCATGCGCGGCAACCGCTTTACCGTAAATCAGTCGGCATTATTATCGCCACCGCGTTGCGTATCTCACGCGCGTAAACGCGCGCTTCAATCGCCGCGGCGTGCTCGTTTGCGGACACGTTTCTGTTGTCCGCGCTTCGCGATGCCGGTGTATCGTCGCACGCAACATTAATCGACTTGCTCGCAACATCCCGATGACAAGTTAGCGGAGTTAATTGAAGATTGAGACGTATAATCGTCGGTGAACGGAATACACGATGTATGATGTCGCGGATGTATGATGTATGAATTTCAAATTACAGGGAGTAAAATATTCAAGCTTGACAGTAGCCTATATTTTCCGCAGACTCTTAGAAAGTAACTGTGCAAAATTTGGTCCAAAACGTTTTTAATTATATTACTAATTGTGTTATCATATTACGCGTAAGTGTCCGTCACATGACATTTAGTTAAATCTAAATTTTGTTATTCAATTCTTTCGCTACTAATTTTATTTTTTAAAGGTATAATTTTTTCATTTTCACTTTATTAATCCTTATTGTGCACTGTGGAGTCTAATAGATCTCAGAAAAAAAAAATAGAATAAATAAAGTAAATCTATAAAAAAAACAAAATATAATAAAATAAATCTATATATCTTGGAAAAACTGTTTGCTTTTTTTCACAAAAATCCTTTTAAAATTTTGATATTCAAAATAAATACTTTTATTGAAAATCCTGCTATTGTACTAATTTTTTTTTTAAAGAGATATGTCTTGAGAGTAATTTCTTAAAATTTTACCTTAAAATATCAAAAATTGTGTCAGTTATGATTTTTGAAACAAATTAAGTCATTTTTCGCGTTTTTTGGGCTTTCCAATTTTTTTCTTCATTTAAAATCAAATTTTGTCTAGAAAAATTATTCCGTCATATAAAAAGATGTTTGAAATATATCCTGGAATTTTTTCAAATAAAAAAGCGAATAATTTTATTGCAGTAAACATTTTTGTAGCTGGGGTCGCGAAAGACCCCAGTGTGCCCATTATGTGATTATACTGTGAAGTGTGCACAATAAGGGTTAAATATACTAATATGATGTAGTTTTAGCATGAAAATTAAAAGTTTTGTGTTTGACGCCAAAGGGATAAATATTCGTATTTGAAGATCAAAACAAGAAGAATGACCAGAATTCAGTGAACCAGCGTGATTAGTCCAGTCATTGGTGCTTTTAAGCGATTCTTAAGACGCGACTCGGAGCTTTCCCCCGCGCGAATCGCTCTTCTCGTTTTGTCTTGCTCTTTCCCGCGTGATTCCCGCACGCTAATAATTCACGAGGTAAATACTGTGCGCCGCCCCGCGCCGTTTATACACGCAGCGCTGGCGAGACCATAATTGCATATAAATCAAATCATAACGATCAACAGCAGCGTTATCGGCCGGACCGATCTGCTGAATATTCCGTGGAAATTTCGAGACCGCTTCGCGCGATCACCGCGGTTTGCGCCATATACGCGTCGTCCGTGCCTTCTCCGTGCCAGAAATCACGTGCCGCCGCCTCGCGCGGAAAAAGCGCATAAATTGACGGCTTTTTGCGCCCGACGCGTTGGCTCACCGATGAGATACCCTCCGCTTTTACGTAAGATGACTTCGTGACGCGACCGACCGTGCCGCGCGGCGTCTCGCGAAGTTTTAACGAAATTCAACGTCCTGGAAAATAGGCGCGAACGAGTCAATGCAGAAATAAAGAAAGGACGACGGCGAGTGGTATCGCGCCGTGAATTATATTCTAAAGTCCATGACACATAACGAATTGCAGAAAGATTGCGGAATGAAGATTGAAACTTGATGAACTGGAACAAAGTGGGCTAAGACCAAAGTTCGTTAATTCATTGAAATCTAATCTTCAATCCGCAGTCTTCTATTTCTGTAGTGTGACACGTGCTTTAGGAGAATCGCATTGCGAACGGAAAATTTGATCAAAACAATGGGCATACAGAAAAATATCATTCTACTGCCAAGAAAAGCGATTATTCGGTTCACTTTTCTTTTAAATAATGAGAAATATTTTCAATGAGAATTATTTTCTTAATAATAGCCTTGAAATATACTCACTACAAGTTTGAGAAATTTTCATATACTTGAAAGAAGAACTCTTTACAAGGATATATTACATGATTTTATCGGAAAAAGTGTTGATTCTATATAGCAAGAATATCGTATTTTTTTTTTTTAATTTAATATCCTTGAGCGAAACGTTAAACTTGCTACACTAAGAGAAAATTATAGTTGCTTTTGGCGTCAACTATACGCTTTTGTGATTTTAATCACTAAAATAATTAGAACCATTATTTTAGTAAGTGTTATTAGAAAGATGGTTTTTCTAATTATTTTCCTGGTTAAAATCACAAAAAAGTATAGTTGACGCCGAAAGCAACTATATTTTTCTCTCACTGTAGGATTCAGAATGTATTTTGCATAAATCTGATGCTTGTGATGAACTTGTGATAGATTTGCGGATATGTAAACTCACGGAATACCTGAAACAGGTAACATTTACTTGAGTGCAGTATGTAATTTTCTGTATGTACCTGATCGCGGTCCGTTTGTCTAGTCCTGTGAACTAGACTTCAACGGTCGGTCGAAAGAGAGAAAGAGAAAGAAAGAGAGAGAGAGAGAGGGAAAGATCAGAAATTACAGGTTTGTCGAGTATAGATTACATCGCGAATGATAATTATCGAACGTTACCGCGCGGTAGAGTAAATTACCGTCGACAACGAGGGTCGTCCGGCACGTATGAATTTCGCGGTGAAAACCGTTTTACAAACGCGTAATCATTCAAAGCTGAGGATCCTGCGGGTACGCGCGCGCGCGCGCGAGCTTTAAATAATATTATTGGAAAAGCAGTTTGTTCCGCGCGATCAAGCATCGGCGCTCGTCGAGAGAGGCCCGGGTCGTTAGTTTCCCGTTTCTGATTGGCTGCGATGCGATCGATTTCTACGACTACGCCGCGCGCGTAGTCGTGAAAATCCCCGAAGAAATTCATCTTCGTCGAGCTCGATGGCGCCGGCAGAGTGTCTTCGCGCGAGACTGCGCGAGCGCTTACGACACCGCTATTTATGCGTTGCGTCGAGGACGTGCCGAATGATACTTAAAAAGCGAAACATTCAGCAGGTTATAAATAGCGATCAGGATCATATGCCGTACCTGTCACACGAACGGTACGAAACGTTCTGTATGTTGCGTTGGAAGTTGCGATTCGTGTAGGAATTCTTGCGTTCAATTTTTTAACATACCCGTCAATTTGACACATTCGTCGTAGTGTTATTTTCACTATTTCGCGTTGATTTCGCATTTACCATTTCTACACTGAGAGAAAAATTTTAAAGATACTAATTTACACGGTACTAATAGCGTATTCATTTAACTCTGAATTCTTTTATTCAAATGGAACAAATGAATGGAAAAAAATATTTACTCTTCGTATTAAATTAACACAAAAAATTCTATAGTGCGGATAAATATTCTCCGAAATTATATCTTATAATTGGGAAGACGAAAAAATTGGTTATACCAAAATAAAATTTCTTCCCAAAGAGAGGGAATTACATTCTCATGGCGAGAAGCCACGAATTTGTGAAAGTAAGAAAAAAGAAGCTCCCCGAACGTTTCCATCGAGTAAAAATCGATAAGCTCGCAATATATCGCGCTGTTGGGCAGCTCCGTTAGCGTACGCGTGTACCATTCTCGGCAGTTTCCTCTTCCTCGGAGGGAGGGGGGGAGTTACTGAGGTAACGAACAGTCGGCAGTCTAATTACTTAAGCGAAGCGGTCTTGCAGTCAAGTGTAGGAAACGCGTACCAAGAGAGAGAGAGAGAGAGAGAGAGAGAGAGAGATAGAAATAGATACAGAGCGAGAGAGCAGCTTCTC